CTCCCCTGCTGGCTGGAAATAAAATGGAAATAAAATAAATTAAAGTTAAAAGTGTAAAAAAAAAAAAAATTTATACTTAGATCATATATATATTATATAAATATATACACGTACATATACACACACATATACTGTCTAGGTGTATTTTACTATTAATATATATATAATTATATATATATATATATATTGATATCAAATTACACGTAGACTGATACTGATTAGCTATATATATATATATAATTATTGTTATATATATATTTATATATAATATAAAAAAATATGTAAGTACGTTAAAAAATAAAATTAAAAAATAATTAAAAAAAATAATTAAAAAATATATAGATGTGTGTTATTTCGTTCTAACTGTATTGTGATATTAATATATATATATTTATATCAAAATACACGTAGAACGAAATAATATATATCTATATACATAAATATATTATATATACCTATATATAAATAAAAATATTTTTAAAAAATAATATATATATATATATATATATATACATATATATACACATACGTATATATATACATATATTAATTCTACATATATATTTATGTAATATTTTTACATAATTAGGTATCTTAATTAATTACAATTAGCGGGGCCTGCCTGACAACCCATGCCGAAAGAAAAGGGAATTTAAAGGACCACTATAGTGCCAGGAACACATACTCGTTTTCCTGGCACTATAGTGCCCTATGGGTTCCCCCACCCTCAGGGTCCCCCTCCCGCCCGGCTCTGGAAGGGGGAAAAGGGTTAAATCTTACCTTTTTCCAGCGCTGAGCGGGGAGCTCTCCTCCTCCGGTCCTCCTCTTCTCCTCCCCGTCGGCTGAATGCGCACGCGCGGCAAGAGCTGCGCGCGCATTCAGCCGGTCACATAGGAAAGCATTCATAATGCTTTCCTATAGACGCTTGCGTGCTCTCACTGTGATTTTCACAGTGAGAAGCACGCAAGCGCCTGTAGCGGCTGTCAATGAGACAGCCGCTAGAGGGAATGGGGGAAGGCTTAACCCATTCATAAACATAGCAGTTTCTCTAGCTTCACCTAGCTACTGATTTTTAATTACAATTTTCTTTTATTTTTCTTTTCGTTTTCCTAAATGGTGATTTAGTTAGTAATGACATAGCTTCGGCTATATTTTCAGTACTAGGGGAAAGGAAGATCTATGCTTGTGTGGTACTGGGTGATGGGAGTTGGGGATTTATTTATTTATTTACTTATTATTTGGTAAAATTGGACTTTAGTTTTATTCATGATTACCCGCTTACCGTTGGGACCACAACTACTTTAGCAAGTATCATATGGTCCTGATTGCCCCCCCCACCCCCCCTTACTGAATATGTGTACTTAGTACTTTTAACTTTAATCTATTAAAAATTATGTTTTATTAAGATAAGTTTATTTAGGTTGCCTAATTAAGGGTTAGGTCTGGAATACTGTACACTTTTGTATCCTTGACCAAACCTTTTTGCTCCTTCATTTTGTGTTTGCGTTTCCATAGAGGTTACCCCCCACCAATTAGTGGCAACCTGATACACTCTCCCAACCTTTTTCTTTATTGTAAAGTAGGAGAAGGAGCAGAAAAGGGTATCAAGGAGCAGAAAGGGATCAGAAAGAGAAAGGAGCAGAAAGGGGAGCAAAATAGGCATAAAGTAGCAGAAAGGTAAAGGACCAGAGGGAGCCAAGGAGGAGAGAAGACAGTGTCAGAGGAAAAAGAAGACTGTGTCAAATGAAGGAGAAGGAAAGGAGATTGGAGCAGAAAGGACAAATGAAGTGAACCCTCCACTTTATTCTGGACACCACATCATAACCACATCATAAGGCTTTGGTACCTGGGCCTGGCAGGGAAACTTTGGACCTTCTCATCTCCCCAGGTAAAAAAAATATTGGTGTTAATGTGTTCACTTTTATTTACTGAGTGGGTATCGGTGTTGCTGATTAGCTAGAGCGGTCAGCTGGCACTCTAAGCCAATCAATAGCTCCCCATTCATAAAAAAGTAAAACATTTTTATGAATCGGGAACTAGCAATTGACTTAGAGCATCAATGGACCACTCTAGAAATATCTGCAGCACCCATACCTGACGTCAATCTGCACTTCCTGACACTCCGTTTCAGAAGCCGAATACTACTGAGCCACCTGGAGATCTGGAGCTGGAGGAAGCCTTTGGGGTTAAACCAATTTAAGAGCGGTTCATCCTCTTAACGGAAAGATAGCACTGAGGAGCTTCCTGACATCATAGCATTTTCATTTAGATTAAGTTGTTATGGTGACCAGAATGTTCCTTTAATTTGCTTAAAGGAACACTATAGTGTCAGGAATACAAACATGTATTCCTGACACCATAGTTGTGAAAATGCTATTCAACCTGGCTTTATGTGATAATGACTATGCCCCTTACCTTTCATGACATTGTCAAAAAGGGACCAAGCATGAATGTCATTACAAATATTCCCTCCCCCTCTTTCCCCCCCGGAAAAATTCCTGCGGACGTCCGAATTCACCAAGGCACGTCTGCTGCACGGAGCAAGTAAAACCGATTTTATAACAAGACACGGAGGCTCATATTGCATATCCCTTTCTTTACTGTCCACCGATAGCAGCAAAGAATACAAACAGAATGAAAAAATAATGAACATATAGTAACATAGGCCCCTCCCTGCTCAGGTCCCAGTATATATATAGGCAGCACTTCCCTTCCATTTCCCTCTTTCTTTGCTGCTGCGATACAAAGATAAGTACAGCACATATTTTTTCTCTGATTTATTGCTTGCTATTGATATTATTACCTACTGTTATTTTTTCTTAGTATTACACTGTATTGTTTTATTCTGTTGATTGATTCTTTATTGTTTTTATACTACTTTTAGAGATTTTTCTCTGTGCTTATTTGTTTCTTTGTTTGTTTAATGCTACACATATGTGTGTTACATATGCACCCAGGGTCCAGACCTCCTTTGTTGTATTATTGATTGTACTCCTTTCACTTGCCTTTGTCTTGAAAAAATCAAGCCCATTCGGCTTATGCGTCACGAACACATGCTCTTCATTAGTTTTATCGGCATATAGCACCATTCGCCTGTTTGCCTTGTTCAACAAATTTTTTATGCAAACGGTCTACACGTTCGTCTATTTTTTCCTCTTCCCTATATTAGACAGAATAGAAAAAGGTTGCGCCAAAGCTGGCTATGGTACTACTAAAATAAACAAAGTCCAGAGGATAAGTAGTGCCAAAGCAAAGTGTTAAGTTGGGCCTGATGGGGCACCGACGGCTTTTGTAGAGGAATATTCTCTCTATGGGTCAAACGAAGACGGTTTTCAGGATCCGTATGTAAAGAGAGAAAGAGATAATAGTGCAAATACGTCTGATACAAAGTGTTCAATTGCAGGAAGAAGAGATCTATAGTAATCCTACTCACGTGTAGTAGAGCTAAATTAGCTCTAGTGTGGATGGCATACAGCGGTACAATCCCCGCTTGTAGGATACGTAGGGAGGTATTGGTCTTTAAATCCGTATGTGGGGAAAAGAAGACAGATGATAGGACAATACATCTGGTAAATGTGGTATATACGACAACAGAGTCTACTATAGTTCTACTCGCGTGAAGTAGAGCTCAAACCAGCTTTAGTGTGAATGGCGTACAGCGGTATAATCCCCGCTTGTAGGATATGTATAGAGGGTTGAGTCTTGTTTTGATATGTAGATCATGAAAGAGAAGAGACAACTAATAGTGCTCACTGTTTAAAAGTGGTAAATAAGGAGTATAAATAAAATGTGTACTCACATAGGATTGAGCAGGCAGACTGCTCGATGACTTAGGCGTAAGTGGTATAATCCCCACCTCGGATGTCTTTGGAGTAATACTCAGTTGGGGGGAATAAAATCAGGATACCAAGCAAAAATAAAAATAATTAATAAAAGAGTAAAATGGCACAATCAAAATGAGTTAAAAGTAGCCAAAATACCTTTATACACAATAAAATATTAATATATTTATATCCACAATGCGTTTCACCTATGAAGGCTTTTTCAAGTAGAGACAAAAAAACATGCTTGGTAGGGTAGGGTTTATATAGGGGGACTAATTTTGAACTCTGAACACAGTTTGGTGCCCAAATGACATCAACAAAGTAAGTGCAATTTTCAAAATACAAAACAAACTATGTAATTTAGTAGATATGTAATCAGGGTAACTTCCCGTAAAATATGGAGTTAAAACGAGGGGTGTAAATGGGGAAAAAAATTATAGGGGTGCTGGGATATGCAGTTTATAGGGGAAACCCTATGAGACTGCCAGGCTGATAAGGGGGAGTGTGTGGGAGCAGATGGAATGGGCGTGTAGTTCGGCCGGGTGCGTGGTTATGATGCCGTTGGCCGGGGAGTGTTTTCAGCTGATATGGCTGTAGGGGAAGTAGGGCAAATGAGTGTGTGGGCGTGGTTTACGGCCGAACAATATTAGAATCAGCTCAATGGCTATACTAAAGTAGCCTGATTACATATTTTAGATACATAGATGACCTCTTTTTTATATGGAAAGGTATAGAGAATTCCTTAACACAATTTTTAAATCATCTTAACAACAACACACATGGCATAATCTTAACCTCAGAACACAGTAAAAACAGCATAAACTTTTTGGATTTAGAAATTTTTATTAAAGAAGGCAACATCCACACCAAAACTTTTTTTTAAAAAGTATGCACAAATACGATAATTGAACAATCAAGCTGCCACTTTAAGCCTTGGTTGGATAGCATCCCCAAAAGCCAATTTCTTCGCCTTCGCAGAAATTGTTCAGACACCAAGGATTTCACAGAACAGGCCCAATCACTGAAGGAAAAATGTATTGATAAAACTTACCCACAGACCAACCTAAATAAAACTCTAGAAATAGTCACTAAAAAAGACAGAAAGGAACTTTTGGAATATAAATCAAAAAATACGAAAGACTCTCCTTTTATGCCTGTTATTTCTGACTTCAATAATAGCAGTAGAAGAATCAAAAAAATCATTAACAAGCATTGGCACATTTTAAAAGAAGACAATGATTTAATAGAACTCATTCCTGATAGGCCGAGTATAGTTTTTAGAGGCGAATTTTAAAACTATCCTCACCAAAAACTACCCCAAACTCCACACAAACAAAAATTGCACCTTTTTATCTAATTCCAAAGGTTTTTTTAAATGTAATACCTGCATAGTGTGCAAATCCACAGATAACAATATAAAGACAAAAACCACCCATTTTACATCCCACAACACAAAAAAATCCTATCCTATAAAAGATATTGTAAGCTGCAACACTAAAAATGTTATTTATTTACTTGAATGTCCATGTGGCTTGCAATATGTGGGTATGACCTCTCGTTGCCTGAAAACTAGACTGGCAGAGCACTGCCGCAACATACTTAAAGGCTACCCTAACCACTCTGTGTCAAAACATTTTTTAATACATGATAAGAACCCTAAATTTTTAAAATGTATAGGAATACAAAGGTGTAAACTCCCATGAAGAGGTGGCGATATAAAAAAGATTTTAGGTCAAAAAGAAATGTACTGGGTTTTCCTCTTAAAAACACTTATCCCAGAAGGGTCAAATGCTGACTTTGACCTTTATAACTTTTTATAATTTTTGGTAAAGTCTTATAATTTTATGAGTCTTTATCACCTCTAATATAATATTGTATGTATCATCCTGATTAATTTATTTTATGTTACTATCCTTATCTAACCATGCAGCCTTTTATAATACCATGTAGTAGTGTACTGTCACTTTTAATATTAACTTTATGCATATTTATTGATGTACTTAAGACTTTATGTTATGCTACTTTGCTAAAGAAATAATCAGCCTTTTCAATATTCTGTATTAATGCACCTTAAGTAACCTGTCACTTCTACATATATTCTCTAATTTACTCCCCTTTATCCATTTGCTATTTATATGTAAATTTCATGGATCTATTTATTGCATAGCTACCAGCTAGTCTATGCTCTCCACTCCCCTTCTCCCCCCTTCCCCATTCTCATTCTATATTTCTCTATTAGTCCCTGGTTTAGTCTGCCCATTCAGGCTACTTTAGTATAGCCATTGAGCTGATTCTAATATTGTTCGGCCGTAAACCACGCCCACACACTCATTTCCCCTCCTTTCCCTACAGCCATATCAGCTGAAAACACTCCCTGGCCGACGGCATCATAACCATGCCCCCGGCCGAACTACACGCCATTCCATCTGCTCCCACACAGCCTGGCAGTCTCATAGGGTTTATCAGCCTTGCAGTCTCATAAGGTTTTCCCTATAAACTACATATCCCAGCACCCCCCAGCGGCACGTCACGCGATCAGCCGGGTTTCCAAAATGGATGTCGATCACGTGACCAACAAAATTATCATTTTTTCACACTCCCCCTTATCAGCCTGGCAGTCTCATAGGGTTTTCCCTATAAACTACATATCCCAGCACCCTTATAATTTTTTTCCCCATTTACACCCCTGGTTTTAACTCCATATTTTAGGGGAAGTTATCCTGATTACCTATCTACTAAATTACATAGTTTGTTTTGTATTTTGAAAATTGCACTTCACTTTGATGACATCATTTGGGTGCCAAACTCTGTTCAGAGTTCAAAATTAGTCACCCTATATAAACCCTACCCTACCAAGCATGTTTTTTTGTCTCCACTTGAAAAAGCCTTCATGGTGAAACGCGTTGTGGATATTTTAATATTTTATTGTGTATTCCTAATAAAGGTATTTTGGCTACTTTTAACTCATTTTGATTGTGCCATTTTACTCTTTTATTAATTATTTTTATTTTTGCTTGGTATCCTGATTTTATTCCTCCTGCTGAGTATTACTCCAAAGACATCCGAGGTGGGGATTATACCACTTATGCCTAAGTCATCGAGCAGTCTGCCTGCTCAATCCTATGTGAGTACACATTTTATTTATACTCCTTTTATACCACTTTTAAACAGTGAGCACTATTAGTTGTCAATTCTCTTTCATGATCTACATATCGAAACAAGACCAATACTGCTCTATGGATCCTACAAGCAGGGATTGTACCGCTGTATGCCATCCACACTAGAGCTAGTTTAGCTCTACTACACGTGAGTAGGATTACTATAGATCTCTTCTTCCTGCAATTGAACACTTTGTATCAGACGTATTTGCACTATTGTCTCTTTCTCTCTTTACATACGGATCCTGAAAACCGTCTTCGTTTGACCCATAGAGAGAATATTCCTCTACAAAAGCCGTCGGTGCCCCATCAGGCCCAACTTAACACTTTGCTTTGGCACTACTTATCCTCTGGACTTTGTTTATTTTAGTAGTACCATAGCCAGCTTTGGCGCAACCTTTTTCTATTGTGTCTTGTGTATTACCTTTGTCTATAGGGCTTAGAGGGAACCCTATTTTTAGGTTGCCGTCTCATACATTACCTATCTTAGTATTGGTTTATTTCAGCGCTGTTTCCTTCTTTTGTTTATTCCTATTTTCTTCCCTATATTAGTCTATCTGTTTACACTAATTTGTTTTATTTTACTGAACATTCGGTTCTTTAACTTGACGAATTCTCAGGTTTTTTGTCGCGAATCTCGCAAGATTGCCGGCGGCCATTTTCCGACTTCCAGTCTTTTTTCCTACCTCATCTGTGAGTGTGCCACTGGTCTGGGGCCTGGTGAGATCTCTCTTATACCTGTTGCTTTCAGTTTGGGTGACTAACCCATACTATTCTGTTAGTTTAGTAGCTAGGGATTAGGTCCTGTTTTTTTCCAATAATGCCTAAATCCAGGCTGCCTTCTGGCTCCCCACCATCTGGGGAGACTGATGCCCCATTTACTCTGGGAGGGACCCCTGTCACCTCGGGCACTCCACCCACTCTGGTAGACAGACCCATCCACCCTGAAGGGGCACAATTCTTAGCGCTACAGCGCTCAGTGACAGACGTCATTATGGCAGCCATGGGGTCCATGTCATCTACCCTCTCCCATACTATATCTCAAGCCCTATTGCCACGTCCTTCAGACGCACATGTCTCGGGTTCCATGACGCTGCTGTCGCATCCGGCACCCAGAAAGGCTACCCATAAGTCCAAACAATGCTCCCAGGCAGAATGGGCGCGGCTTTGGAAATGTGCCAGAGTACAGCTAGAGAGCGACTCCAACTCAGATATCGGGTCTGGTGAGGAGGCTAAGAGTGAGTCGGACAGTGACTCTGATATGGATGCCGCCGATATGGGCTTTGACCTCCTTCCCTCTGCTCAGGCAGAGAAGCTCGGAGGCGATTCAGGCACTAGGCACCCCGCGGCTGCGAGGTCCACCCTCGTGGATCCGTTGGGTGTCCCACTCTTCGTCCTGGATGACCTACACCATCCGAGGTCGGTGGAGTGGCTCCCAGCTGACCATGTTGCCACGTACCTTGAGAATTGGGTACGGCGCCCTCTTAGCAAAGCGGCACGTAACAAATTAAGGGCGGAGTGTGGTGCCAAATAAAGTGTGTGACACTTCTGAGGTAGACCCCAAGATGATACAGTTCCTCACTAAACTGGAACCGACTGTAAAGGGCTAGACTCTGCCTTGAAGGCATGCCAGGATAAACACCTGGATATTTTCGGCCCCCTGTTTGACTTGGCGGAAGACGCCAGAGCGGAGAACCGCATGGTTGACCCTGAATACCTACATGGTTGGGTACATAGAGCAATTTGTATTGCTGGGAATGTTAACACCTCCCTATCTATAGAACAGAGTAAAGCCATCTTGTTCAAGATTGAACCCAAGCTAGCCAATCTTGCCCTCACAGAGGCTGGTAAGGACGCCCAAGGCTTGCTCTTTGGCGATTCCTTTATTAAGGCCTTGGGGGCATTTACAGCCCTTGACAAGGCCCAAGCCTCCATGAGATGGGTATTCCAGGGGCGGGTCTCCACCAGGGCCGGCAGATTCAGGAGCTGTCTGTCCGGCCGTACCTATTTCCAATCCCGTGGCTTGGGACGAGGCTCCTTCCAGCAAATACCCGTTCCACATTCTTCCCTTCACATGGACGCCAGTGGCGATCCAGGAGTTTCCGTGGCAACACCAGCTGCAGACGACCATACGGCGAGTTTACTCATACCTCATATTTCTTCTCATGTTTATGTAGGGGACAGACTCCAACATTTTTCCCAGTTTAGTCACTAATTACCTCAGACCCTTGGGTACTGTACACCGTTCGTGGTTACCATATAGAACTCGTGGGGCACCCTGTGCACATCCCCCCTCCTCGACCGATCTGCTTCTCACTCCGGGATCACAGATTGATCGACGCAGAGCTCTCCACACTTCTAGTCAAAGGGGCAATAGAAAGGGCACCTCTCAGCCCCATAGGTGTCATAAGCAAAATTTTCCTAGTGGAAAAGAAAGGCGGACAAATGCGGCCCATCATAAATCTGCGCCCCCTCAATGCCATGGTTCGGTACCGTCATTTCAAGATGGAGGGTATTCACCTGCTATGAGACCTTCTCCTGCACGGGGACTGGTTGGCAAAACTAGATCTCAAGGACGCATACCTGACTGTACCAGTTACAGTGACGTCCCTAGACCTCCTGCGCTTTCACTGGCGGCACAAAATTTGGTGCTTTACCTGCCTGCCCTTTGGCCTCTCCTCAGCACCGTGGTGCTTCACAAAGCTGCTGCGACCAGTGATGGCCTGGTTGCGCAGTCGGGGGGTTCGGCTACTCATATACCTTGACGACATCCTCCTCAGGATGGCCCAGGAGGGCTCCACACTCCTTACAGATGTCCTGCTGGGCAACACCCCTTAGTGTGTCGACTCCTCAAAGGCTCTCAACTTTCCTGACCACCCAGGCCTCGCTACTCCACGACCTGGGATGTTTCTATTGTGTTATCTTTTCTCTCCTCCTGGCCCGCTAACTCTGCACTCTCCTTAAAACAGTTATCAGCCAAGTTGGTTTGTCTGCTTTGCCTTGTCTCCTGCAAGAGGATCTCGGACGTCCGAGCTCTGGACTTTGATGCCAAATCCTACACCCCTGAAGGGGTAACATTCAACATTAGCAGACGCACAAAAAACGTCTATCAAATCTGTGTCCTATCCGAGTTTCCCTACTTCACCGGCATTGTGTCCAGTGGCTTGCCTACGCGAATATGAAGATCGCACCAACACTTCACCGTACCGCTGTCTCTCCACAGCTGTTTTTGTCCTTTCGTCCTCCTTTCAACCCCGTTATTAGCACCACGCTGTCACGTTGGGTGAAGTGGTTATTGACTCAGGCGGGCATTGATACCAAGATCTTTGGCGCCCATTCGGTCAGGGGGGCCTCGGCCTCTTTGATGATGATTGCTGGTGTGCATTTGGAGGACCTCATGAGGATGGCTGACTGGTCAAGGGAATCTACTTTCTGGGAATTTTACTTTTGACTGGCCCCTCATACGTTTGCTGCAGTAGAGGATCAGCTTTAAACTTGCAATATGAGCCTCTGTGTCTTGTTATAAAATTGCATGATTTTGCTATTACATGATGAAAAGTCATGATTTTATTAAAGACACGGAGGCGAGTATTGTCCCACACACTTTGTATTTCTCATGTTATGTTCATTTCATGTTTAGGTGAGATACATCGAATCGTTTGGTGTGGTAAGTGGGGCCTGTGTCGTAAGGGTGTTTTTGATTATGTATCTGGGATTGTTTTACTCAATCTGAGTTATGGGACTACAGATATATGTGGGGCTTTGCATCGTCTGGCCTTGATATTGGTTGCAAGTATCGGTTTTAACTCTTGGGCTCTTGTTCCCTTATGTCTTCACAGCCTGATCTGATCCGATGGAATGCCATGCTTCGTCCTGTGAGGACTATCAACGCTGATAGAGTTTTGTTCTACGGTCATCCAGTTGTGCTTCCCTGTTACTGAAGTGATGATTCTCTTCTTGGTGAAAAGTTCTACGTTGTCTCTTCACTGGACATTATTGCTGTTTTTGGTTATGGACATTATTTATAGTGTCGCATCTTCAGAAAGAGGGAAATGGAAGGGAAGTGCTGCCTATAATACTGGGACCTGAGCAGGGTGGGGCCTATGTTACTATATGTTCATTATTTTTTCATTCTGTTTGTATTCTGTGCTGCTATTGGTGGACAGTAAAGAAAGGGATATGCTAAATCTATGATTTTAGATATCAATCCTGATAAGAAAATGCAACAAGAGATTAAGAACAGATATGACTTTATTTGGGTTAAAGATAGTATGGATTACCTAAAATTAAATTACCAGAGAGGTTAACAAAATTATGGAGATAAATTTCTTAGAATTATTACTAAAACTCAATAGATGGTTAAAAGACCGTCAAAATTTAGAAATCACCCTTTGAGGAAGAATAAATGTGATTAATTCATATGTAATACCAAAGTGGAACTATATGTTCCAAATGTTACCTCTTCATATTACGATTCATTGGCTTGAGTTGATACAAAAAAGTTTTATTCAATATATTTGGAAGGGTAAGGAGCCAAGATTAAAGCAGTCAGTATTAGCACAAAAACTAAGAAAGGGCGGACTTGCCTATCCGTTAATAATGAACAACTTTAAAGCAGCTACAATTCTACATATTTATAGAATGCAATTAGAAGAAAACAAAAATGAAGGATGGTATAAGATGGAAATGAGTGCAGGTGAAGTTCCTAGTTTGGACTGTTTAATTTGGAACATAGATAAATTTTACAAAAAAGAATACTCTAATACTATTTTATCTCATTTAATAAACAGCTGGTTTAAAATAAAGAAAGTATTAAATATTGAAAAAAAGGTTCCAAGCTATTTAGAGTTAAACATTGTGGAAAACCAAGTAGAAGATTTAAATCTGTGGGGATCTTAACGGCTGGAACAATTATTGACAGAAGGAACAACTAAAACTTTTGTTCAAATAACACGTGAATATAGTCTTCCATCTAAAGAGTTGTTTAATTTTTTGAGATTTAAAAGTTATATGACTACCCACCTAATTACATCAAAAAACAATCCGAACAATTTGATTGACTCATTATTTACAGCAAAAAGAATAAATAAACCACTTTCTAAAGCTTTAATATTGAGCAAAGCAAGTGTCAAAGATATAATTCCAACAGCTATATCTGTTTGGAAAAAAGATCTAAATATTGATATAAATCTAAAACAATGGGGTTCTTCAATGAAGGATGTTATGAAGACTATACACTCGTTAAATTTGTTGGAAACACACTTCAAAGTTCTAAACAGATGGTACTTAGTACCGGATAAGCTAAATAAAATATATCCTTCAATAAATCCTGTATGTTAGAGATGTGGGTTCGCAAGGGGTAATTTTGGACATATATGGTGGGATTGTCATAAACTGAGAAATCTTTGGTTGGAAACACAAAAGTTTATATCTGTAGATCTGAAACTCGAGTTGAGAATCTCCCCAGAGGTTGTTTTGTTACATCTAAATTGGCCACCTATGTCGTATGAATCAAAATTAATTCTTATACACCTTTTTTTGGCTGTTAAAATAGTTGTTGCGAGATGGTGGAAAAAAGATCTAGACGTCCCCTGGAAGAAAGTAAAAAATCAACTCGAGTTCCAGATAAAAATGGAGATGATGATGTTGAGTAAACAAAAATTAAGTAAAAAAGTATCTGTCTGGTTGAAATGATCGGAATTAATTAATGGAGGAAATATGAGATAAGTAAGTCTCTATTGAGTTGAAGTAGTATTAGCGAAATTGTATATACCTTAGACATTGGTAATTTTTGAGCTATACTTAGAGCTCCTCTTACCCTACTAAGGAAAATTTCTAAATTTCCAATTATGTTGCAATGTTGTGTATTGTTTTATATTGTAAATTTGTATAGTGTATTATTAGCAATGTAATATATTATATTTTTTTTCTGTATATGTCTTTAACTTCCATGTAAGAATTTATATGAATCGAATATTGACTATATTATATCTATAGAAGTATAAATTATTAATGAAGTATTGTTTTTTGTAAAATGTTTAAATAAAAATAAAAAAAGAAAGCAAAAAAAAAAGAAAAGAAAGGGATATGCAATACTCGCCTCCGTGTCTTTAATAAAATCATGACTTTTCGTCATGTAATAGCAAAATCACGCAATTACGTGACACGACAAAAAACACAGAGTAACCGGTGATAGTGCAGATAGACTCATAAAACAACACATCCATCAGTGGGAATTATAAGATTGACTCACAGAGCTACATATCTATTAATGGGAATTGTACCACTGTATGCCGTTTTACTCAGAGCTGGTATATAGATCTATCAAATATGAGTGCTAGACCATATATTCTTGTTGTGTGTCCTAGACAATCAGCATTATTACAGATTATTCTCTGTTTTATTGCATATATCCATAATTATCCAAAGTCCAGACAGTTATCAGCAAGGAAATTCTATAGCATTCTTGCATTTATTGGACTCATTTTTGGCGCAAAGAGCTTTATGAGGGAAAAGCGTATTTCATTTTATTAAAGTGCAGATTTCAATAGAAATCAACACTTTTATAATTCTATTCTGTTACACCTCCACAGCTGTCAGTCAGATAGACAGGCTTTCTCCTGCCTAGCTTAGCCCCCTCAAGCTAAGCACGAGTGGCAGACTCTTGCCAAAGAGCACCTGTTTTGCAAATACTTCTCAATGAGCTGCAATGTTTTGACTGGACAGTCACGCATGCTCAACAAACAGCCTCTGAATCTGATCATTTCCCATCACAGACGGGTTGTGTCTGGGATAAAAACGATGGACTGCAGCAGCTGTCCCAAAAAACATGGGGCTGACTTTGACTTTATGCTGTTGCATGTCTGTTTAAGATAAAGTTATTTTATTAAGTCCTCTGAGTGCACTCATTCTTGGTGGATATATTATAGGATAAAATTTGGCACCAAGGTTAAAAAGACTAGGATAAAGGCCAGTGGCGGATCCAGAACCTAATCACGGGAGGGGCACTGACAGATCACTTAAAGAAACAATCCTGGTACAATAACCACTACAGTTCTCAGTAGTGGTTTTGGTGCCAGGAGTGCCATGGCACCCTCCCAGAGTAAGTAGTCAAACCGTTTAAAAAACAGTTTGCTAACTTGCCCAGGGTCTGCCGGGATAGGGGCAGTGGTGTGTATGTTTGTGAGGGTCGCAGTATGTGTGTGGAGGGGCAGTGTGTGTGCATGGGGGTGCAGTGTATCTATGGGGTAGCAATTTGCATATTGGGAACAGTTTTTTTGTATGTAAAGGGTGCTGTGTGTGTATTGGGAGCAGTGTGTTTGCATGTGAGTAGCGCAGTGTGTGTATAAGGTTGCAGTGTGTTTTTGTGTGAGGGGTGTTGTGTGTGTATGGGAGGTCAGTGTGTGTGTAGTTACATTGTGTGTAAGGGGGAGCAGTGTGTGTATTGGGGGCTATGTGTGTATGGGGTGCAGTGTGTGTGGGAGGCTGTGTGTGTATGGAAGGCAGTGTGTTTGTGTGTGGTGCAGTGTGTGTAAGCGGGGGCAGTGTGTGTATTGGGGGCTGTGTGTGTAAGAGGGGCTGTGTGTTTATGTGTGGTGCAGTGTGTGTAAGGGAGGGCAGTGTGTTTGTGTGTGGTGCAGTGTGTGTAAGGGGGGCTGTGTGTGTTGGGGGGGCTGTATGTGTAAGGGGGGCCGTGTGTGGAAGGGGGACTGTATGTGTAAGGGGGGCTGTGTGTGTAAGGGGGGGTTATTCTTTGTGTGAGGGGATAGGGGGGTAGAATAAAGATTTTTTTTGTAAGTTATTAAATAATTACTACAATATAGTTTATGTACCCACTCCCTTCTTACTTGTGCTGAGAGAGGGGAAGACATTGCGTTCTTCCAATCCCTGGTGGTTCTATTGGTGAGAGTGATCTCTAGCCTGCTGCTCAGGGTAGAGTTCACTCTCACGGGAATGGAGCGTTGCCATGGTAACCACAGCAACGCTCCGTGCTCTCAAGAGGAGAACCCGGCGGAGCTGCAGGTAAGAGCTCCTCCGGGTTCTCTCTCTCCCTCCCCTGCCAGCCATCCAGTAATGGCTGGCTTGGCCGGGGAGGGAGATCACTGATCTCCCCTCTGGTCCGTGAAGGCAAACAGCAGGACTGGCGCTTGGATAGTGCCATCCCTGCAATTGGCTGGCAGGGGAGAGCCTCGGCCTCACTATTTTCCCGGGGATGGGGGGCAATTGCCCCGTTGTCCCCCCTGGATCTGCCACTGATACAGGCAGGGTTAGTCATTGAACACTGATGATTTTTTTTGTGGAGCTGTAAAATTTAGGCTAAAACAATAACAAGCTGTGACTAAAGCTGAATTGGAGAATTTTTCCCAATTAGTTATTTTTACCTTAGTCTTACTATTTGAATATTCATCTGATGCAATGCAGTGAATAAATAAATATAATGTAAGCCATCACTAACCAATGATATATATATAAAAATCTTTATATGTATATATATTATATAATCTTTGTG